TGAACTGACGGGATGAAATCTAGTGGTTATTGGACTCACCTTGCATAGTTAGCTTTGTTAAATCTCGTTGTTGGGTAGGAGTAGAGGCACAACTTGCCCCTGGACCATTGTGACACTACTCTGAAGAGAGGCAGATGCAGATTCCTGCATCATCTGGGCCAAGATAGAGTAATTCTTTTTCAGTCCTGCCAACACTATCTGGGCGACTCTCTGTTTCTCAGCCCAGATACTGTTGGTAGGACTAGAAGGAAACTAATCTATTTCTGCCCAGATGATGCAGTGGTCGAGTGAAATGAAGTGGAAGATCAATTCCCTCTTGCCCCACCCCCTCCCCAAATTATAAACCTCAAACAATCACGAAAGGATTGGGAAGGAGTCAGTTTTTCTTTGGCATTTTTCTAGACAAAATTATTGACAATTTTTTAAAATATATTTTTATTGATTTTTTACAGAGAGGAAGGGAGAGGGATAGAGAGTTAGAAACATCGATGAGAGAGAAACATCGATCAGCTGCCTCCTGCACATCTCCTACTGGGGATGTGCAGGCAACCCAGGTACATGCCCTTGACCGGAATCGAACCTGGGACCCTTCAGTCTGCAGGCCGACGCTCTATCCACCGAGCCAAACCGGTTTCGGCTATTGACAATTTTTTTAAATTGGTAAAGTGTTTTTTAAATTTTAGCAAACTTTCTTTCATTTTCTATTGAGATGATCATATGATCTTATGATCATATTCTATCTTTATATCATATTTTTATATCATATGATCATATTCATATGATCATATTCTATTTTATGTTAATCTGGTGAGTTCCCAGTGATTTTCAAATATTAACTCTACCTTGAATCTTTGGGATAAACCTTACTTGATCATGATGTATTGTATTTTTTATACTAAAGTTTTGTTTAAAATTTCTGCATGTATGTTCATGAAGGATATTGGTTTGTAGTTATTTTTTGTAACATAAGTGCCTGCTTAGTTATCTGGGTAATTCTAACCTTGTAGAATGATTTGGGAAGTATTCCCTTCCCTTAAATTTTCTGAAAGGTTTTTCATAGAATTGCTGTTATGTTATCCTTAAATGTTTGATAAAATTATCAGTAAAACCACCCTGACCTACAGTTTTCTTTGGAGAAAGAATTTTAAATAAAATTTCCATTTATTTAAGCTATAGGCTCTCTTCTGTTTTCCTATATATGTTTAGTGCTATAAATTTTCCCTTGAGCACTTCTTTTGCCACATCCCACAAATTATCATATATTGTGTTTTCATTTTCACTCAGTTTAAAGTACCTTATAATTTCCCTTTTGACTTCTTTGAGTTATTTATTCATGTGTTATTTGAAGTTAAGTTTAAATACTGGGTATATTCCAGAGAGCTTTCTGTTATTAGCATTTCATTTAATTCCACTGTGCTCAGAGAACATATATTTTATTATTTGAATCCTGTAAACATTATTGAGACTTACTTTATGACCCTGATTATAGACTATCTTGGTAAATGTTACATATGCATGTGAAACACATATTCATTCTACTGTCATTGGTGGCAAGTTCTACAATTGTCAACTAGGTAAGTTGGTTCATAGTGTTGTCCGAGTCTTACATATACCTGCTGATTTTCTGTCTACTTGTTCTATTTTTTT